AAAAGGTAAGTTGTTGCTGATGTGTACTAAGTAGTTAAACCTAAGATGGTTGCATCTATACTGAACAAGCCAGAATGGAAGAAAATATTTGCAAAATACATATCTGATAAAGTGCTTGTATCAAAAAAGATATAAAGAATTCTTAAAACTCAACAAAAAAAAACAAACAACCTTATTTAAAAATGGGCTAAAGTTCAGAACAGATATCTCACAAAAAAATATATATATAATGGAAAATGGAATATGAAAAGATGCTTGACATTAAATCTCATTAAGGAATGACAAATTACAGCACCAATGAGACATTACTACACACCTATTAGAATGCAAAAAATAAAACAAAAAACAAACAAACAAACAAAAACCCTGACAATATCAAATGCTGACAAGGATGAAGAAGCAACAGGAACTCTATCAAACTACAATAAGATATAAATAAACTTTAAACTTTATCGCTAAGTGAAAGCAGCCAGTCTGGCAAGGCTGTATACTTCCAATTATATGACATCTAGAAAAAAAACAAACAATAGAAACAGTAAAACAAAATTTTGTTTGCCAGGGGTATGAGATTAAGGAAGTGGCAGGTAAAGCATAGGAGACGTTTAATGTGTTGAAATTATTCTGTATGACACTTTGATATTGTAATGATAGGCACATGAAATTATGCACTTGTCAAAATCCATAGAAGTTTACAGGGAAAAAAAGGGTGAAGCTTAATGTACTCAAATTTTTAAAAATAATAATTTAGAAGTTCAGAGCATCTCAGGATTAAATACAGATTGTGACAAAAGGGTCAAACTGTATTGTATGTTTCTGCAGCAACCTCACTAAAGGAGATAGGAGGAAAAGGAATCTGTAAGACTAAAAGCAAAAGGAACTGCACATAAGCACTGTACTCTAATTGACACAGTGTTTTCCACTATCTGTAAAGGGAGGACAAGCTAGCAACTGCAATACTGCTCTACATATATAATGGAACTGAACAATTAAGTAAGTGGATGGCAAATGGTGGGAGCCAGCTTTCTTCTCACTGTTGGGATGAGTTTACAGATAAGCAAGGGGAGAAGGCCAGAATAATATAGGTGGTAACAGATTAGGTAGAGTAAAAGACATCCATATAGACTCATATTTAGCTTAATATGATACACATGGTTACACAGAGAAATATGTATAGGTAAGTGTATATACATGGGTTTGTATACACACATGTATTTCCTGCTATGTCGAATGAGAGGGCCCAGAAGGAATGATACACCAGTAGCCACAAGAAAACCTAGCACCTATATCTTGGTTTCTAAGGCCACTTCCCAAGAAAATGAATCAGATTTTGGCTGAATATAGAACTGGGGCAAGAAATAAAGAAATACAAGATAAGCCTGAAGCATCTATTAATGCTAAAAAGTAAGGAAGTGATTAAAAATAAAAATAAAAAGATGGAGCCAACTGAAACAGCTCTCAATGGTCAAAGCTGAAACAATCTGAGCAACAAAATAAAGTGGTACTAGAGTATAACCCAAAGTGTAATTGTAATTCACACACACACGGCTCTCTCATATGGCTCTATCACACACATGGCTCTATCATAATGTGTGTGTAGCCATTAGTCCAAATCTGTCATGCAAAAGTTCAAATAATGTATATAGATACTCCACTCTTAAGGAGGAGAAGTATAACCCTCCACTCCCTAAGTATGGGCTGTGCACAGTGACTTCCTTTGAAGAGTACTGCCTTAAAAGAAACAAAAGAATAACTTTTTAGTGCAGAAACCTAACAAACACTATCTTGGCCACATGATCAAAATCAGTATCAACAGTGGTAAGTCCCATTAATAGTATGTATACCTATTTTATGATGTAATAAAAATAGCACTTTACTTCTGTGATCTTCCTCCACAAATTCTAAAACCTGTCTGATCATGAGAAAAATATTACACTAAATCCAATAGAGGGGCATTCTTAAAAATACCTGACCAGTACTCCTCACAACCGTGAAGGTCATCAAAAACAAGGAAAGTCTCACACACTGTCACAGCCAATAGGAGCTTAAGGAGACTTGACTACTAAGTGTAATATCCTTGCTGTAGGATCCTAGAACAGAAAAAGGATAAAAACTGAGGAAATATAAATAAAGTATAAACTTTAGTTAATAATAATGTACCAATATTGATTCATTAATTGTAACAAATACCAATGTGAGATGTTAATAAGAGGGGGAATTTGAGTAGAGGGATATATGGGAAGTCACTGCACTAACTTTATATTCTTTTCAGTAAATATAAAACTGATCTAAAAAATAAAATATATTTTTTAAAATCCCATTTAAGCCTGGCCAGTGTGGCTCAGTGGACTGAGCATCGTCCCATTGACTGAGATGTCCCAGTTCAACTCCTGGTCAGGGCACATGCCGGGGTTGCGGGCTCCATCCCTGGGGCGGGGGGGTTCGAGAGGCAGAGGATAGATGTTTCTCTCTCATGTCTATGTTTCTATTTCTCTCTCCCTTCTTCTTTCTAAGAAAAAAAATCAGTATAAATAAATAAAATAAAATCTCATTTAAGAATGTATCTAGAAAACATTAAAGATGTTGTAGTGAAACACTAAAGAACTTCACAACTTCCCTGCATATATTAAACTTAAAATGTTTACAACTATTCTGTTAGAGAATTTTCTTTTTAAGAAAATATTTTTCAATCACTAACAGCTGCAAACAATTTCATGCAGTAATTCCCAGCAGGGGTGTATTATAGCTGAAGTATTTTAACTAAAATTCCACTTTTTCCCCTTACATATCATTGCAGATGTCTGAAAGATTGAAGTTTGTAACCTATCATTAACTTGTGTTGTTTTCTGATAATCTAAATAACTACCAAGTATGCTTACTACAACTCAGAAAAGCTAATCCAAATTTTATATAAATCAAATCAGTGCTAAAATACCCATCTAACAAAACTTTAGGCATCTAAAGAGAGACTTGAGAAAAACCATCATCTTTTATTCTGAATACTATATTTTCTTATATAAACCATGGTTCAAGTGAGCTGCTGCAAAACTAATATAGATAAATGAAAAAAACAGGAGAGTCAGTAAAAGAAAAAAAGTAGTGGTGAACATGTGTGTAATATAGTGTATGAAAAAGAAAGGACTAGGATTTAAAATATACCAAATTAAAAACACAAAACAAATAACAGAAAATCTGTTCTAGCATAGAAAAGAACAGGACTGCTATCTGGAAAAAAAAAATCAGCATAGATAAAAAATTTAAAGCTAGAAATAACAACAAAATGAAATTTTACATTTGATCAGAAACAAAGTGTTCAAAATTAGACATTAGCTTCCTGATAGGGAACAAGAATAAACCATTGGGGTGGGGGGATCACCCTATATACAACTTCAAGTATTCCCCACTAAGAAGCTGAAAATTACTATATAATGACGTTGGAAACTGGAAGAAAAAAGATTTCAAAGAGAATATACCAAATATTATTTAAAAAGTGGTATGTCAGAATAGTGGAATTAAAAGCAAGTTTTCTCTTTTTTTCTGCTGTGTAATGAATGACTTGTGGAATTTTTAAGTCTTACTCTATGAACTCTGCACTAAAGGCATTCTATAAAATGTCATTACATTTGTGATATATTCTAGCCTACTATTTACATGGCAAATTTATAAAGTGCATTATTTTTCAATTTGTAAGTAAAAGAGTGACCAAAAATTTTCCAGACCAGCAACTTGAAAACTATACCAATATGTCCAGAAAATTACAAGTCAAACTGAAAATCTATACTAGGTGAGAGGATGACACTGACTTTAATTTCAATAACCACATGATCTAAATTACTAGAGTACACTTTCCAAAATCCAAGTTGCTGTAGAAAGAATGGTATCCTTTCAACAGAAATAAATTAGAAACAATACACAACACAATTGCTTTCTGGAATATATATATATATATAGAAGCCTTCTGGAAATTCTTTCTCCTAACTCCCCAGAATAACAAAGCCAAAATCAAGCTATTCATACACATCTAGAACCAAGTTTTACCTGAACTCAAGATATCAGCTATCCCCCTTATCACCTGAGGCAAGAAGTGAAACTTTAAAAGAGAAGCAATAATACATGTCATTGAAATATATTTTATAAAGGAGGATTCCGATTCCTAGTGCTCTAGGGCTCTAGACATCTGTGCATTTCAAATCCTAATAAGGCAGTGTCCTACCCCTCAAAGAGATTCCAGCAGTACTATGGGAAAAGAAGGGTTTGAGAAACAATGCAAAGGAAGAGAACAATTGGAGCAAAGATTCTGCATACAGGTAGTCCTGGAAAGGAAAGGAAAGAGACTGAGCATGTGAGGAGCGAGCAGAGTCTGCAGAAGTGGGGAAATCCACTCCAAAGGCATTAACTGACAAAGACACTAGAATGGCCATCTTCCCAAAAGTAAATTGATAAGTAAAGTAGAACAAGCTAAAAGGGGGAAACCAACAGGAATTAGAAGTGACAACTACTGAAATATAATGAGCTATATTAATTTGAGGAGACAGGCGCTGGTGAGACCTTGTCCCAAAATGTCAATCTGAAAAGACCCACCTGCCCATTTGGGGGTGGGGAGAGTAGCTCTGAAAACCCCAAGCCGAAGATAACCCGTGAGAACCCTCGTTCTGTAGTCGCCCCACCGCCCAGATAAGCGCAGGTGTATCTGCGGAAGCTCAGGTTACCAGGAAATATTACAGGGACCCGGTGAATCTCCCTGCTCACCGTTCCCGGAGCCGCGGGTGCCGCGGGCAGCGCGGGCAGGCGGCCGAGGGTGGGCACCGGCTCCCGGCGCACCAGGACCCGACGCGGACGCGCACACCTGGCTCCCGACACCAGTTGAAAGCAGTGAAAGTGAAGGAAGGCGGACGCGGCGCCTGGCACCGCTCCCTGCAAGCACACAAAGGCGGATTTTTGAAATCGAGGGAGAGTTCAACCCATCGGACCCCAGCGGGCGCCTTTCACCGAGGGGCTCCTACCTCGGATCCGTCTTCGGGGCCGCAGCTTTCCCGGAGGCGCCACGAGCCCCGACAAGGCAGGAGGTGGCCAGGAGGTAGCCTCGGACCTGGACGGCGCCCGCCCAGCCGTCCGCGCGCCGCCAAGCCGCTGTGTGCGCCCGGCTGCAGAGAAGCGATCTCCGGACTAGCACAGCGCCGACCTCGGGCTCGCCGACACCGCCTCGCCCGCCGCTGCCGGGGAAGTCTGGATCTGCCCGCCCGCTCCCCGCTCTCCGCCGAAGACGGCCGCGCGCCGCGCATGCCCAGTACCCCTTTGGGGAGCGCGCGCCGCCAAGAGCTCGATCCTCTCTCCGGGTCTTGCCTGCAGCCCAGCCTTCGAGTATCGGGTCGTCCCCAAGCGCTAGAGGCAAATAGGTGGGTGGGACCCAGTAGGCGGGAGAAAGACCGGAGGAAAGTTATCAAGGCACCTAGTTTTCAGGCTGCCATCAAAGCTGGACCAAGGTGGCCGGCCGCGGACAGGTTTCCAGAAGTGCCCTAGCTGGACTGATCAACAGCTGGCAGACGTGGGTAGAGGTTCGCCCCTGGCAAGGTTCTCAACTCTAATACCCAACGACCTGATAGCCTTGTCTTCCTCCTGAAGCCCACCAACCTATTTCCCTCCCCCCTTTTGTCGCTTTCCTTTTTTTTTTTTTTTTTTTTTCGTCTCCTCAACTTATGCTGTAAACTGGTAGCATTTAGGGGCCTGCATTCGATCCCTGGGGGTTTCTACACTGCCTGTCCTTAGTTCCAGCCAGCAAGTCCAGACCCGCTTTTCATGTCTGACCTGGATCACATGTTTCACTTCGGTCTTGCCAAGAGTTTGATGTGGTTTGCAGAGGAGGCTTCTTTCAGTTAATGCCTCTACTAACATGACCAATCCCGTAACCTTCGCCTCCTCCCTGAGTAGCTCCCGGAGCCACTAAATGAGAAGACCCTCTCGGTGAGCATAATCTTTTCTTATTCTCAAACTTCATTTGTCCTACCTACGCCCCCAACCTGTTCTGACTTCTTTAAAGTCAATTGACTTCCAGAAGTCAACAAAAGATTATAAAGTAAACTTGATTAAAACAGACTGGACCTGACTGCTTTGTGAAGCAAGGGTAAAAGCAGTCAGGGGAAAGGAGATTTCAGGCCAAGGTGAAAATGAAAGCCATTATGTTAAAAGTTGGACTAGATCTGAAGTCAAGTCCACTATCTTAAGTAGAAATTCTTTCTCCAATATTCCCACCACATCACCGTCCACTTGAATTTTTCCAATGTTGGAAATCTGTTATTATCAATTTATATATAATCATGAGTATTTGTTGAATATTAACCTATGCCAGGAACTAAGCACTTTTTTTCTCATTGTCAAATATCACATTGAGGGATGTTTACAAGGTTTTTACTTAATTGTGTGGGTGGGCAACTTCAAGCTATCATACATGAATATTCTTGGTATACCTATGTGCCTATATTAGTATTTCTGTAAACATACATTTCTAGAAGTATAATTTCTGGGTTGAAAGCTATGCACACTTAAATTTTTCATAGCTGTGACCTCAATATCCTCCAAAAAAGTATTATCAATGAAAACCCTTAGCATTAATGTGCCAGATAATTCATTTCCTCACATCCTTCCAAAACTGGGTGTTACAAATCCTTGTTTATTTGTTTTGTTTTGTTTTGTTTTAATCTTTATTGTTGAATGTAGAATGTATTACAGATGTTCCTCATTTTTCCCCCATTGACCCCCTCTTCCCCACTCCCACCCCCCTCCCGCCTTTTCCCACACTATTGTCTGTGTCCATTGGTTATGCATATAAGTTCTTTGGTTTATTTCTTCCCACCCCCCAACCCCTTTCCCTTTGAGGTTTGTCAGTCTAGCAAAGAATTTGTACTTCTTAATCCCTTCACCTTTTTCACCCATTCCCCCAGGCCCCCTCCCAACTGGCAACCAACAAAATGTTCTCTGTATCTATGAGAATGTTTCTGTTCTGCCTGTTCATTTTGTTTGTAGATTCCATGGTCGATAGATATGTATTCACTGCCATTTTGTTTGTTCATATATTTTATCTTTTTCTTCAAAAAAACCCTTCATCATTTCACATAATAACGGTTTGGTGGTGATGAACTCCTTTAACGTTTTCTTGTCTGGGAAAGTCTTTATATGGCCATCGATTTTAAATGACAGCTTTGCAGAATAGAGTAATCTTGGTTGTAGGTTCTTGCTTTTCATCACTCTGAATATTTCTTGCCATTCCCTTCTGGCTTGCAAAGTTTCTTTTGAGAAATCAGCTGACAGCCTAATGGGAACTCCCTTGTAGGTTACTAACTGCTTTTCTCTTGCTGCTCTCTCTTTGTCTTGAACCTTTTGCATTTTGATGATGATGTGTCTTGGTGTGGGCCTCTTGGGGTTCATCTTCTTTGGGACTCTTTGTGCTTCCTAGACTTGTATGTCTGTTTCCTTCACCAAGTTAGGAAAGTTTTCTGCCATTATTGTTTCAAACAGGTTTTCGATTTCTTGTTCTCGCTCTTCTCCTTCTGGCACCCCCAAGATGCGAATGTTGGCACGCTTGAAGTTGTCCCAGAGGCTCCTTACACTATCCTCATTTTTTTGGATTCTTTTTTCTTTTTGCTGTTCTGATTGGGCATATTTTGCTTCCTTATATTCCAAATCAATGGTCTGTTTCTTGGATTTACATACTCTACTATTGAATCTGTGTAAATTATTCTTTATTTCAATTAATGCCTCCATCATTTCTGACTGTGCATCCATCATTTCTGATTGGTCCTTTTTCATGCTCTTGAGGCCCTCACTAAGTTCATTGAGCATCCTTATAAGCAGTATTTTGAACTCAGCATCTGTTAGGTTGCTTATCTCCATTTCGCTTAGTTCTTTTCTTGGTGTTTTGTTTTATTCTTTCATTTGGGACCTGTTTCTTTGTCTCCTTATTTTGGCTGCCTCCCTGTGTTTGTTTCTGTGTATTACTTAAGGAGAAGTATGGGGCTATCTGAGACCAGATGCTGCTTGTTTGAAAGAATTTAGGAAAACCTGAAGCAGGATCCAAGACAGGCCAATCCTATGGTTAGGCAACTGGCAACAGCTTGGGTGGGCCTGAAAGTTGGGTGGGGCAGGGCCTCAGGGAATCACCAGGGCAGGGCAACCAGTGTGAGCCAGGTTGCTGGAGTCCCAGATAATGGTGGCTGTCTGCTGCCCCAGGGAAGGGCTCATCAAAGGAACAAAGGCCTCTGACAGCACATTTGTCGCGGAGAAAGCCCCCTCTCCAGCCCTCGCTCCAGTGCCAAACAGCTCAGTTCCTCCCTGTATGTCTCTGGTGCCTCTCAAGCTGCCTCCCCTCCAAGCTTAGAGGGAGTGAGTCCAATAAGTCCGTGCACAGGCCCTTTAAGAGGAGCTGCCTGGGGCTCCAGCCACCTCGGCCTCCCTGAGTCTCAGTTCCCGCTGGTTTTTCCAGGCAGAAGTTATGGGGACTTCTCTTCCTGGCACTGGAACCCTGAGTGGGGCATCTGGTGTGGGACGAGGACCCCTCACTCCTCAGGGAGGACCTTCCCAGCCCAGATGTCCTCCTGATTTTTATCCGCCACACGTGGGTGTGGGACCAGCCTGTCGGCCTCCGCCCCTCCTACCAGTCTGAATATGGCTGCTGCTTTTTTTTTTTTTTCCTCACCCGAGGACATTTTTCCTTTTTTTTTTGTACAGATAGAGTGGGAGGGAGAGAGAGAGAGAAACATCGACGTGAAAGGGACACATCGAGTGGCTGCCACCCGCACAACCAACCAGGGCCGGGGACAAACTGCAACCGAGGTACGTGCCCTTAGCGGGAACCGAACCCGGGTCTCTCCGGACCGCAGGCTGACGCTCTAACCACTGAGCAAAACTGTCCAGGGCTGGCTGCTTCTTTAATTCCGTAATTGTAGGACTTCCATTCAGCTTGATGTCAGGCAGTTTTGAATGATGGTTGTTCTGTAGTTTAGTTGTAACTTTGATGTGGTTGTGGGAGGACGCGATACCGCGTTTACCTACGCCGCCATCTTGACCAGAAGTCTGGAACTAAGCACTTTTTATATATTATTTCTAATCCTTAAGATGAGCTAGGCCTTATTATACCTATTTAGCACATTAGGAAAACGAAGCTCAGAAGTCCTATTCCTTTTGCCAAAGTCAGTGCTGATGTCAGACTTAAAATCCAGGCCCTCTTAACTCCAAAGCCTATGTCATATGATTTGTGCTCATCAAATCAACTTCCCTTAACTTATATAACTGGTATTGCTTCTGCCCAGGGAACCACACAAAGGTAATCTCATTCTTTATAGACATTGCAAACCTTAAACTAGTTGAAGCAAACTATGAAGTAACTAGATCTTCTAATACTTTCCTCTTCTTCAAAATCTCTGGTTCTTTTCACTATGCCTGGAATGGCATGGTGAGCCCTTAGAACCACTCTTTTCCCTGTTTCAAACATGCTTAGACTTCTCATTCTGCTTCTAAAATTGTGCACTCAGAAAAACAACACAATATTCAAATACAGTGTGCCAAGATCTGAGTCATAGACTGATTGTTAGTCCTTTTGATCACGCATACCCTGCACCTAAGGCACTTAAAATCTATACCAGGTTTTTCTTTTAGCAAACATATTCCCTAGAGTTGAAAAATCCAAGCCTATTATACATGAACTACAATGAAACCATGTCTTCCTCCTTACAGAGTCTATACTTCTATAATTCTATGTGTTTAAACTTAAATTTTTTCTTTCATTCTTATTAAATTTTATCTTGTTGGTTTTAGGACATAAGTTTAGATAAAGAAATGTTATATTAGTGATTACGTTTAATTATAACACCTATAAATTTAAGAAGCGTGCCTTTTTTGTTTCCATTTAAGTCTAAAAAAAAGTAACAAAATAGAATTAGATAAGAGCCTTGCAGCCCACTACCAGAAACAATCTCCAATAAAACAATCATTTACTAACCTATACTTTTTGAGATCAAGCACTTTATTTCATGTAATCATACTATAAGGATTTCATGAAAGGTTTCCTACATTTCCTCCAGTATCCCTAAATCTACAAATTCAAGTAACAATTTAAAAAAGAAAAGAAAGAAA